TATGCAGAACTCTGTTATTTATATCTTACCATTCCTACTTGTTTACACAGTGACCCATGTGGCTGGTTTTAGTTGAGAAAAATCATAAATCATTTACAGCAGCTCATCTGTGCTGGCCAGGAGGGCTTTACTTTGCTAACATGGCAGAAAAGCACTTGCAAACCCCAGGCACCAAAAATCAGATCCTCATGTGGTACTTATCTGCCACCCTTCTGACATCTGTACTCTACACAAGCAGCCAATACTTTGCTCCATGATGAATAGTAAACAGAACCAGTGTAATTTGTCCCGTGAAATATGGGTTTGCAGACTTTGTATTTTATTTTTTTTATTTGGCATTCAGTCTTCACATAAACTCACCAGAATGGGATGGGATTCATCTTATCTAACATCAGACATCCTAAACATCAGTGTTCACAGCAAAGGCAGTAACGAAAAAGCCCTTTCTAGTGCCTGGAGAAGAATTCACCCTAATGCTGGCTTTGAGGCTGATAAGCCACATAGTGGTTCTCTCCATTTATAATGAAGAACATCAAAAGTGCTGACTCAGTTACCTACAGTCATTTAACTTTTGCTGAAATGGATACTATCCTCATGGCTCAAGTGAAAGTCCTGTGAAATAGCACAAAATGTTAGTGACCAGGTGAGAAAAGTGCTAGCTGAAGTATACCTTATGTCAGGAATAGGAGATGAAGCAGGAGGAATAATTCTCATTGACTGACTCCCATTGAAAAAGGAGAGCCAAGTATTATGAAAGGAAAATGACTGCCGTCTACCTTAATTATGCACTACAACAATCCACTGCATGGAGCAATCGCACTGAAGTGGATCACTGAACTGTAGGTAAGAGATCTTACCTACAATGGTGCATTTGCCTACTGAGCGTTTAGAGCAGAGAGATGAAATCTACACGTGAAAACTGCTCACCGCTTCGAAGTTCGTGTGTTGGGATGGGACTTGAGATACTACCTTCACAAGATAGTTGTTTAAAAGCCAATGCTCACCAGGTGGCTCACGAAGGATGCACTGTTCATAGATTTTAGCAAACATTTTTAAAAGATGTGCTTAAAACACAACTGTGAATATCAACAAGAGATCGCTAGCATGTTTAACACAGGAAGAAATTACATATTTAATTCACAGTGTAGCCTGTATTCCCATGGTTCTAAGTGATTAAGTTACTTGGAGTGGTGCACTCATTGACTATACCATCACTGCAAAGGTTGGCCCCATGACAGCTATAGGCATGAACTGCTTATCCAGTCACGGCCTGGGGTAAAACCAGAGCACCATATACAGGACTGTATAACCCTGGTTGGTCAAGAGATGAGTCAACCCAGGCAGTCAGGAAAGGGAGAAAACCAGACTCACAGACACTCCAGAGGCTGTTCTTTCAACACAGCATAGATGCAGTCACTCATTTCAGCCAAATTTTGATCAGCTGATCATCAAGAATCCTTATGAGCCTGCTCTGAAGGCCACCAAACTCATGGACAGACTTTGCATTCACTTCAGAGGCATCAGATCAAGCTGTTCTGCGTTAAAAATAAATGAAGAGGAATATAAAACAAATATCAGTGGCCAAGAGATTCCTCACACAGAAGACATTTACTGAATATAAACAACAGATTTATGTTGTGATGTAATGTATGACAGTAATATATAGGGAAAAAAAACCAATACAATTTTAAATACTCTTTTAGGACAAGCTAAAAATTCCCTGCTGGATCCAAAACTGGTATTTCTGTGCTTCTTCCTGAGGTGTTCTAGGAGCAGACTTTTCTTTCCTGGCATGATAACGTGTGTTAAACAGTAATGGGAATTTGGAGAGGACCCACAAACAGATATCAGAAGATAAAGCTATGCTGTCAGTAGGGACATGCCCTCATTGTTGTTTCAAGACAGAGAGGTAATAACTAGGATGGAGAAATGTAGATTCTGTAGCAGGATGGTCCAGAATGCATGAGAATTCCTTTCTTTTACTGCTTATATCTGTAAGACCAAAGTCCTGATGGAAAGAAACCATAAATTACTATTATTTATTTTCATTTCTGTTGCTTCTTTTCTACCAATAAATGTTTGCAGTAATAAAGTCAATACCATCTCTGTCAGCATACACACCACTAAATGCTAACAGTCCAAGAGGGAGATAATGGCACAGTTCTTGAGTTCATCAGTCTTTAAGGGGAAGAAGCAGTGTCAATTTCTAATCCTGGAGGCCACTACATAACTACTCGCTGAAAATCCCAACATGCCTATTAACAACGAATGCTGAAGACAGTCTTATTTAAAAAGTCCTGTCACTCTTTCTGTGTCTCCAAAGCAGCGAATGGTTCAGCACATCTCTTGGTAATTCCCATGGGAAATCTGGTCTGATGAAATCTATTTATTTTTATTTGTTGTATTAAGCAGGCAGCACACTGCAAATGTGAACCTGTTTATTGCTAAGGGTGGCAACTGCTGTAACAGTAGCAATGCTATGGTGACTCCAGAGATGTAGGAAGCACACTCAGCCCAGGACTTGGGCAGAAAGCTTTCAGTGTGACCCCTGACATTGTCAGTTCTCTGAATTTCAGTTACCCACTAGAACTTAGGCTTCAAAGGCTTAAAATCATGTCACTTAGCCCCACTGAATTCAGTAGATTTAATGATTTAACCAAAGTTAAGCATATGCTTAAGTCTTTGCTAGGTCAGAGCTTAAAATACCAGTTATCAATACTGTCTAAGTACTTTCAAGGATATTTTAGAGAGCCCTTATGAACTATACGAAGTCTTCATTAACTTGAATGAACTTTTAGCTCATGGTTTTCGTGCAAAAAAGCCTTTTTCCCTGATTAACAGCTTATAAATCTTCTAAATCTCCTCAGCTTCCACTTACAGAGCTATAAATAACAGAATTATACTAAGATGCAGGTTTTTTTGGTGGCATTAGATCTGCAGAGGGGATTTCCTGATACAAACATATCCTACTACCCACTTAGCATGCATTCCCTAAAAGGGTGACAGTGATTTGACAGATAGCAAAACAAATTTTCCCATCAGAACTAATTTAAGGGTGTTGGGTGGGATGTGAGCTGAAGAATTACACTGCTTAAATTTACCCAAGGACAGTATGTTACAACATCTGATCTTGCTGATTCACATCCCAATATCTGGGCCTAAAAAACACTAATAAAAAAAAAAATTAGTAGGAAGCATTTTCCATTATTTCTTTTTCATATTTTTCTGTAAACCATCAATAGTGCTCTGGCATACCAGAGCTTGAAGATGACAAGGATGATAGATAGGTAGGTTGAATACTTGTAAATAGGATTTTTTGGGACTTTCAACTTCAGTATCTGATAGGGACAGAAGAGGTGGGCAAGACAATACTTCTTAAGGAGTTACTTTTCAGCATCTGTTTTTGCATTAGTTGAAGAAGCTAATGACTTTTAAAATAAAAATTGAGAGATGGCTGCAGCGTGGCCTGAGATTTTGATCAGTATATCTGGTTATATCATGAGACCAAAGATGGCAGTGCCCTGCTTGACCAATTGCTCTCAGAACATATTACCGCTCTGAAAGATCTTAGCTGCTTCATCTTTCAGTATAAGCAATCTTACTCTCTCTTTCCAAATATTCAATTTCTATTGTTGTTGTTGTCATCTCCTTCTGGTCTCCCATTTTTGTCAAGGTCAGACAAGTCAACCAAGGGAGAAGAACAGAAAAACTAGATAATGATTAGCAGAAGGAGGTATCAAATTACTGATGGCAGGACTCCCAAAAGATGCATCACAAGGACACAGATTATGACATGTTACTGTACATATATTGATTATTTGCTTGTACCAAATATAAAACAACCTCTATAATGAGTAAATGATTTCATTATTTGGTTAAGGCTCAGCTGAATGTGAGCCAGCAGCGTGTCCATGTGGACAAGAAGACCAGTGACACTCTTGCTTGCATCAGAAGGGAGGTGATCATCCCCCTGTTCTCAGTTCTGGTGAGGCTGCACCTCAAGTACTGTGTTAAGTTTTGGGCCCCTCACTACAAGAAAGACATTGAGGCTCTGAAGCATGTCCAGAGAAGGGCACCAAAGTGCCACGTGAAGGGTCTGGAGCATAAGTCTCACAAGGAGAGGCTGAGGGAGGCTGGAGAAGGAGGAGGTCTGGAGAAGAGGAGGCTGGGGAAGACCTTATCACTCGGTACAATTCTCTGAAAGGAGGTTGTAGTGAGGTGGGGACCAGCCTCTCTTCTCCTGAGTAACAGTGATAGGATGAGAGCAAATGGTCTTAAGTTGCACCAGGGGTGGTTCAGGTTGGATATTAGGAAGAATTTCTTCTTAGAAAGAGTGGTGATGCACTGGAATGGGCTGCCCAGGGAAGTGGTGGAGTCGGTGTCCCTGCAGGTGTTTAAGAAAAGGGTAGAGGTAGTACTTAGTGACATGGTTTAGAGGGCAATATTGGTGATAGGTGGACAATTGGAATAGATGATCTTAGAAGTCTTTTCCAATCTTAATGATTCTATGATTCTTCCTTGTAATTAGAATTTTACAGTTGTTCGCAGCTAGATTTCTCCACAGAATATTCATAAGGACATTTTGGCAAATTCAACCTACAAGGACAGCAAAACTGAGCCTTCCTTTCAGTTTTAATGGAGGTCAATGAAAAGAGAAAAGGAGATCACAAAAATTTCTACACTTCAAACTAAGCTCTTAATTTGTTAGACAGCACTGCTCAAGTTTTACATCACTCATTACCTAATTACAATGCAATTACAGCTCATTGTGAATCATATTTCAAGAAGGGCTACAATTCTACATTTCTAGTTTGGAAATGCAGATCAACTGGCTAGCTTTAAATTCAAACCAAATCTTCCACCTGTCTCTTTTAATGCATGTTGCTATGGTGAAGATCATCACTGACTGTATACAGAAGTGAAGCACAGAAAAAAAAAAAAAAAACCACATCCAGACAGCAGGAAAAAAAAAAGTAACAACTTTAAAAAAAGCGTATTACTTGTTAGGTGCCATTAAGGACTCCTATTTTTCTGGCCTTATTTTCCTGATCACCTGCCCAGAAATGTAATTGGAATCGTAAACTTTAAACTACCCCAGCTTTCCTGACAAAATCTTTCTAACAAATACAAGCATAACTATTGTCATTATAAGTCCCATTAGGTCAGGAGCTATAATGTGCACTGGCACTACAGCTCCTTGCTCTTTTGGCTTCTCTCATTCTCACCCCTCTTGCTTTCCTCAACTGTGATGTATCAGTCACTGAGGATTAACATCCTGCACAGAGCTGGGAATAGTTTGTGCAGCTTGGGCCAGAAAAAGCCCCACAAAGTGTCCTTGCCTGCAGGTGCCTGTGTAGGAAGGCTGCCACAATTCTCCTTGGTTCACAAGTGCTGGATATTGCATTGCAAAGATTTGGCAGAACCTGAAGCTCAAAGGGCAAAGCATATACTAAGTACTCCCAGAAAGTTATAAAATGTTCCTCAGATGTTATAGTAAGGTCTGCAGTTTCTTTTAAAAGCTGTGTTTTAAAGGCAAACACTTCGTAATCTGTCCTCTGGAAGGGCTCCCTCATTCAACAGTAATAATTTGAGTAAGGAGTAAAACATCAGTGCTAATCTCTCATTAACTGCTGTTGCTGCTATTCTTAATGCTCCAGGTCTGAGTTTCATTTGAGCTTTATTTCTCCATTGAGATACGAGCCCTTTCCAGCCTTTCAGTGGATTCATTTTCTTTTACAATGTCTTTTAAATGGTTTCTTCAGAATTTGTTCAAGTGTGATGGGCATAGCTAGGCAGTCACTAGGGTTTGTTCAAAACATTACCATACCAACTCCACTGGGAGTGCATTTGAGCACTCCTGATTGAATGATTCAAACTTCTTCTTTTGCAGAAGACTCTGTTGGTTCCAGCAGTAATCCTGCCTGTGAGAAGAGAGAGAAGTGGCTCCAAATGTCCTCGTAAGAAGGATGCCCAGTGAAGGCATCCAATTTGGTAACAGCACACATGAATAACAGACTTCCTTCCAGGAATGACCTGAGCAGGCGCCAAAAAGAAGAGCTTTCTGGTAACGTTCCAAGAACAGAAACAAGAGTTTCAGAAGTTTGTGAAAACAGACGGTGTATAATCGATGAATATAAATATGTTTTAAATATGAAATAAATGAAAGAATTTAGCTAAGCAGGCTATAATAACAAAGGGAGAATAAATAGAATGCTTACCCGTATCCTAGGCTTGCTGCAAAACTTCAGAGGAGGGATCTCCAGAAGAGAACCTTCCCTACTGGTAGTCAGCTCTTAAATAGGCCTAGGAGAGGTGCAGCCAGGCTCCACCCCTTCTGGCAGCACAGGTGAGTTGCCTTTACCTGTGCTCCTGTGGCTGACTCAGTGCTCGCCTCAGGTGAGCAATCAGAGGTTCAGGCTGTGATTCAGCAGTTCCCATACAGAGGGAAATAAAAACTTCACTGAACTTTCAGGCTGAAAAAAAAAAAAAGCTCTTCTGACAGAGTGATTTTATCACAGATCCAAACTGATTTTGTTCAGAATTGTATATTCATAACTAGTTACTCTTCATTGTGTCTTCTCAAATAGTACAGCCTAAACCAGGCACGTCCAACACATGGCCTGCTGTCTGCTCTTCCTGTCCTGAGGCCAATCTTCTGACCCACTCTCATCATCATGGCGGCTTTGCCTCATCAAGTGGCCTGGCCCAGCCCAGGGCATGCACCCATCACTGACTGCCAATGGAACATTGATGCGATACTGATCTACTCTAGGCTGAAACAAGGAGGTGGAAGGGTACACTGCAGTGCTAACTCAAGTTATGGCAAATAAGTTTATGGATTCTGACACAGTGGCTAAACACAGTCCTGTGAGCAGCAAAAACTGTGCAGCTGTGCTTTCTGTTTTGGAAAAGGAATTTGAGAACAGATTTCAAGACCGCCAAAATATCACCAATTTTTTGTTTCATTTGTGACTCCATTTTCAGTTGACATAGATACATTACTTGTGAACTTTGTTACTTACATACACTAACTATATAATGTATTTTATAACTGCTGCTCTGAAATTAATGCCTCCCATTTTATGATACTGTCCCATGACGTCAGCAGAAGATATTGTATGCATGGCAGTGGGGGCTGAACCTTCCCACCAATATTCCACTACATGTTGTTGCCGTGTGACAGATGGCAGCAGAGGGGCAGTCGGACAAAATGGCGTTGATATGGACGTTCATACGAAGCAAAGGTGTGGCACTGAATTTCTTCACGTGGAAAAAATTGCACCCACTGACATTCATCAGTGTTTGCTCAGTGTTTATGGAGACCAAACAGTGAGCACAGTGAGGCAGTGTGTGGTGCATTTCAGCAGTGGTGACAGTGACAGTGGGTACCTTCACCGATGCAGATTTTTTATGAGCACAGCATGCAGGCTCTTGTTCATCACTGGTTAAAATGCACAGTTTGTGGTGGTGGCTATGTTGAAAAACATAGAGAGAATTTGCTCCATCAAATAGAGTTACTGTGCTCTTTGTATTGGTTGTAGTTTCCATGGAAATAATTAGGAAGCATTACTTTCAGAGCAACCTTCATGAATGCGGCACAAAACAGTTCCTCTTCACTCCATGTGGCCCAAGCACACCAACAGGCTGGACACTCATGGTCTATAGAGTCAGTGTCCAACTTTTTGTTTTACTTTGGCTGCATGAAGTGAAGAGGAACCATCTTAGGCCATACACAAAATATTTAATATTATGTTAATGTATATAAGTAACAAAATTTCTTTTTAAAAATTGAAACATAAAAAAAGAGGGCAGAGAACCATTAAACTGGTGGGTTGGATACGTATGGTTTAGAGCTTGAAGTCCTTAATGGGTGAACTTGTTCTGCCACAGCTTCAGGATATGAACCTCAGCTCTTTTCTCTGCTTCTCAGCTTTTTCCCCATATAAAATGGTGGCATTCTTTCTCTTCTGGCAGACTTGGCCATGCAGTTTTTTCATGTCTCAGATTTCTGATGGTGGATTATTACAAGTTAATGGTATTAATTACACCATAAATGTTCATCCAGAGGGTAATAATTAATTATCAAAGGGCTTGTTTTGTGCTAGGCTGAAATAGATCGTTAGGTAATTTATTATGACTAGTAAAATATGTTAACTCAATCAATTTTTGCAGATCTGTTTTACAATTCAGTGTCAATGGAATGTAATTTTCAAACCTGTACTTAAGTACGTTCAGCAGTAGGGCAGATACAAACACCGCAGCCAAATGCTACAGTGAGATTCCTCAGCACAGACACATGGCTAAGAGCTTTTAGCTTTCCTTCATGGAGAATTACATACAGACTGAAATATTTGGCTGGTGTGATCTGCCTGGTTTGGTCTTTGCATCTTAATAGAAATACAAGAAGTGCATTCAGGAGCACCGTGAAAGCTGTCCACAGTCCCTCATGGGGCTAAAGCTACATCTCACCAAACAGTAAGTGTAAATAGGCCATGTGCTGGGCAGGAAAAATCTGTGGCATCATGTTTGAATTCACTTTTTTGGCTGCTTTGCCATGAAGGGGGCAGTGAGTCCAACAATGCAACTCAGTTTTCAAAAGGGATAAATGAAGCACTCCAGGGTAACAGTTAGTGCAACTGTATTTCCTAATGAGCATAATGACTTCCCTTACAGACAAGAAAAATAAGCTATGCCAAAGATCAGTCAGGTTTTCCTCTCTTTGTCCCACTCCTCTATGAATCAGAAAGACCCATTTTCCATCCTAAAACCAACAGTGCCCCTGCAGAGCTGGTACTCAAGCAGGACAGAAGAACAACTTCAGTGACTCTTCTGCCATGCTGAATGACTTGACAGAGCAACTGGCTCAAATAAGAAAATACTTGTGGCCTTTGTGGCTATTTTTTCCCCAGTAGTTCTGGCCCTTATAAGCAACCTATGTATTAGGTCCTCTATGCTCAGCCTTAACTCTCTGGTTCCCTACGTCCAGCCTCCGTCGATGCTGTGGGATTTCCCCCTTCTTCACACATTAAAGGCAGATTTGGGCCTGGGTCCACATGAAATATCTAACTCCTAGATTTAAAAGGACTTACTACATTAATTAATTTCATTGTTTACTAGAAATACAGGCTATGAAATAAACTAATTATGATTCCATAGACATTAAAAATTGCATTTCTTTATAAAGAGGTAAGAGGCCTCTGTTTTCATCTGTTTTTGCAGACTTAGCTTTTTTCTTAACACAGAGGAGAGCAGCTAGTAGCAGTTGCCTGGGTGGGAAGGAAAGAAGAGAAATTTCAGAGGAAAATATGGGGGAAAGCTTTAGTCAGCTTGTCAGGACACCACTTGCAGCTTCCTATGGAGTTAGAAAAGACAGGCAGAGAAGGAGCAAAAGAAATGCGATAAAGACATCTATGAGCACCAAGGTCAGAGAAAGAGGAGCATGAGAAGGTGAACAGACATCCACACTGCAGATAGAGCAGGTGGGCATTCCCTGAAAGAAGGTTTTGTTTAGCATCAGTTCCACTGTTGGAGCCATGCAGCAAGTCAAACAGCAGCTAAGTGCAAAATACCCTTTAAGTATCATGTTCTATGTGCCTTAATGGTCAAAATCATGGTATCTGTCTCATGGTCTCTAACATCAGCAGCCTCGCTGGCTACTGTTTGAATCTTTGTTAAGAGATTTAGAAAAGGCACAAATACTTTGGCATTGGTTTATGTGGAAGATGTTCAAACACTACAAAGACTGTTCACAGTTAAAAATCAATAGGTTGCGAGGCGGACAAAGATAACCTGGAGAGATGTCTGGATAAAGGAATTCATCCCATGAAAGACCACCTGAAGGCATAATGGATTTTCCACTGCAGTAAACTACTCAAGGTTTCCATTGGCTACTGCTCACGAATTTTTGAGGTTGCTCAACATGCCTATGAGCTTTACAAACATCTGTAGGTATTTGTTAAAGCCTTTGAGATACTTCAGTTTCTACTCCATAAAAAATGCCAATATTTTGTTTTTTATTCTTCACAATATATGTAAGTTCTGCAAATTTGCTACAGAAATGAAATTGAGAAAGTCTGTCTTAGAACCATGCAATGTTTCCTTTGGATAGTAGTGAAAAAACTGAAAGAAAAAACATAAGAAAAAAAAGTTAACAAATATGTGACCAGATAAAATCAGTAGCGCTTATTAATAGAAAAGGCAAAACGAAACATGACGCAGAGATAAAATCCAAATGCAATGGTCTCCTTTGTTTGGATTGAACATTTCCTCAATATCAGCATGTTCTGACAAAACATTTCAATTTTGCCAAAGTTGCATTTTCTCGCAGAAATGGACTTTGTAAAAAGCTTCTGACTAACTCAAGCATCTGTATTCCAAGTGATTCCTTTGGTGTTCTGCGGTTTTCGTCCACTGTGGAGCAAACACTTAGCAAGCCTCATTCATTCATCTGGTCCACCATAAGGAAGCAGAGCTATTTTAAGCTTGTTGTAATGGCATGTGTGTTACTTAGTAGGGCTGTCCAGTCATGGGAGTGTGGGCCAGGAATCCCTTTGGACACCCACCCATGCGATGGCAGCACCTTGGGGATACACCAGCCCTGCATGCCCAGAGGGAGCTTGCACCAAGCTTGCCTCCTTCTGGAGACATCTGTAACTTCAGCTTATCCACAGCAATGACTCATGAATAGAAATTCATATTTCTGTTTCTTCCCTCATAACAATATCTTTCTTTCTACAATGAAAATTGCTGTCTTACAGCTGAACACTAAAAGCCAATAAACACATCACAAAGGCAATCGGCTGCCAGAGTTCAGAAAGGGTTAAGGCAGCAGTTGGAGAGGTTTGGGGTGACGTCGTGCTTCTGGACGCCTGAGAAGTCTCTTGAAGGTAGTTCCCCTCTGGTGAGGATGGGAGCCAGCCGAGGTCTGAAATCCGAGATCTCTTGCAGCCTGGAGCTGGTGAGGTCCCAGTAAAAGCTGTTTGCCTGCTCTCCCTTCCTGAGCAGTCACACCGCTGCACCGGCCTGAGCAGTATGGAGCGAGCCCCCTGGACACACATAGGACTTACCCTCCTCCAGCTCCTGCTCATCTCCTGCTTGCCGAGAGGTACCGTAAGTGAGCGTCTGCATTCCCGGCACGGCCGAATCAGTGCCTTTCCTTCAGTCTGGTCAGAGGGGTTTGAGCTCACGCGCTGTCATGGGAAGTGGAGAGATCTGCAGGGGTGGTAAGAATAGCAGGAAGGGGCTCTGCTTTATTGATTCATTTCTTGCTGGTATGGAGAGCGTGTGGGGGGAGGTCTGCCCAGGGATGGTTTCCAGGCAAACTTAATAGCCTTAAAGAGAAACAACTGGCTGGATTTGTTTGCCAATGGCCATCAAGAAAAGGGTATGCAATCACTTCACCTACTACTGCTTTATTTTCTCAACACTCAAAGCTAAGGAAATGATGATAAAAAAAAGGCATTTAAGTCTCCGAACTGTAAAGCGTAATTTGTTTAGTTTGGCAAGACAGAGACTTTCCTCTCCAGCCCCAACACCAAGAATGAAGGCAAAGGAGGAAAAAAGTGTAGGAAAAAAAGAAAACAAAAGCCACACATTGTTTCCGATCTGGGCTTTAGTGCTGCCAATATTATTCTTTCGAAGGGGAAGCCTTGTTAAAGCAGAATAATCTTTTTTGTAGTCAAGCCTTGCTCCAGTTTCTGCTGAGCCAGCATGTTCAGTTTCTTCTTGATAAGACTAAGCTAAAGGCATTTACTGGTGAGTGCAGATTTGCTGTCATGTGTCCACGAATGCGGGCTGTTTACACCTGGAAGCGGCTGGAGCTGCTGGCACAGATGGCTGTCAGCATCTTGCGGGCTGCTGACTGGGAGGTCAGGTGCCCCCAGATGCCCGCAGGTCACAGTGCTGCTGGCAAGGTGAGCACATCGGAGGGAGCAGCAGACCAGGGGACATGTCAGGCATGCAGGCAGCGTGTGACGACTACAAATTGTGTCAACGATGGGGCTGCAGAGCCCACCTTACTGGGGGCTGAAGCAGAGGGTCTGCTCTGCAGCGCCCTGCCTCGCCACTTCTTAGGGCCTGTGCGACAGAGCCTGACTGCTGCCAAAGCTTCTCCCAGAGGCACCAGCACAAAACTGTCCCGCTGTCCCACTTGCACTGTTCCTTGTCCCAGCAGTGACCTGTCACTCCGTCAGATCCCCAGTACTCCTAAGCATAGGCGGTGCCAGACCTGCAGCCGGCTGCTGCAGAGAGATTTGTTGCCCACCTGGCAGCAGCTCTTCATGCGCCAGGGTCAGTGACTGCAGGGCAGGGGATCCCAAATCGACAGCCCCTCCCTGCCTGCTCTGAGCCTCTCACCCCACATACAGCGGCAGGAATGGAGCTCCAAGCCAGGGCAAGGACTCAACAGCGCAGTGGCCTTAGCATGTCAGGGCAGGTTGGAAAATAGCACTTTGCCTCCTCCCCACAGATGTATCCAATTTTTATCCCTATTTATCACACCCAGTTGCAGAGGGCCTGCCTCAAGAGTTGGGGGCAGGAGTCGGGGGAGGTCTGGGAGTTGATTTTTGGAATAACCTTGAAGTGCAAGTGACTCATATTTCCTTAAAAATACATGTGTGTTTGTATGTGCTCCTGCCTATCTTAACCCTCCCCAGTCTCTCTTCCCCTCCCCCTCCATCCTCTGTCTAGAGAAGTGGAGCCCAGATGCGCTCAGAGACATCCAGATGCATTCAATCTTAGCAAATGGGTTACTTCAGTTCACATGTTTAGCTTCCTAGCATGGACAAAGGCTGAGAGCCTCGCTTTTTGTTTTAGAGAAAAGCTGGGGTTACACATGCTCAACCCTAAGGCTACCTCCCAGGAGTCCCCAAGAGCCCTCAGTACCCCAAGGTTGGGCTTTGTGTAGCCTGGAGGGAGCCTGCCCCACCTCTGGGCTACGCGTGTGCCTCCTCCAGCATGGTTCTCTTGGGGACACAGGCATCTCTCTCCTGCCCATGGAACCAGAGTTGTGCTGGGGAGAGAGTTGTGGGGCAGGGAGGCAAGCCATCAGCAAGGGCACAGGGCTGGCAGCCAAGGGGACGTCCTGCAGTCCTTGGCCAGGGCTGTACACAGTTCCCCTGAGGCTGCAGTTATGTAAAATTTGGGGTGAGAGCTCAGAGATCCGGCTGCTGTCTCTGTGAGCTATTTCTATGCAAGCAACATTAACTGCAAGTGTTCTGCCAACCTGGTCCAGGTCTGACACAGATTCAGCAAGGACGCTTGAAGGTCTAACACAACTTCTTCACGTGTTGTGTGGTCATGGATTTAAATACAGCAGCTGTTAATTTTCCACAGATCCCTAGATATTCCCTCCATCATGGAACTCTCTTCCCCAGGCCTCTCAACGAAGGCTGGGCTCTCTAACCTTAAAAGCACTGCATTCATACCTGTTCCTTGTTCTGCAGCGGAAGAAAAACAAAATCTCTTTCCAGTCACACTGGTGTAATTTCCCTGACCAGAATAAGCTTCTCTATCCCCAGAAGAAATCAAGGCCTGATGAGTAACGTAGCAACCTCTGTGTTTCATCTGTGTCCTTGCTGTTTGACCATGTCACAGCCCTTCTTGAACAAACACACAATGCCACAGAGCCAATAATAAGATCAAAATACCATCTCACAACTGCAGAGGAGAAAACGAAGGAGGAGGAGGTTTAGGGCAATTTTCGTCAGGTTGCTTCAGATGCTAAAACACTCTGACTATTGATAGATGATGGCCTCTAATTTAAATCTGACTATGGCAAAAGGATACAGAAGGAGCAAGCTGTGGCATTTTGAAGGCAAGGAAAGATGCGTGCCATAGGGAACATGGTTTAAGCTGGAGCAGGATCTGAAATGCAGATGCTTGTGTTCTTGAAGCATCTCTCTGGTCCTATGGACTAGCCAGCCTCTCCCTAGAGAGAGTGGAAGGCCCATAAGGGCTTTGTACAAGAAAATGTGGAGGGGAACAGATTTCTACTTGGAGCGTATACCATATGGCTCTAGTTTTCATGGTACAGCTTGCTGCCAAAAAAAAAAGGGCTGCTGAAATGTGAGAAGAAAAGAACTAGGCCTGACATAGTCAGGAGGCATCACTGCTGGCTGAGGGTACCCAAGGTTTTATGGTATAGACTGACTGAATGGACACTCCTGTTTTCTGTTAAGACTGGAAACGCTCCATATGCATTAAGCCACTGTGATAGCTCTTAGATGAGCAACACCTACATGCCACAAATAGGAAGCATAATTTTTACTTGGCTTTCCTTTCGCTTGCACTGGGGCGCTTGATTTATATTATTGACTGAACAAAAGTGTGTAGGCAGAGTGGATTGAGATAGATATGGGAAATCCAAGGACCAGATGGAGACCTCGAAATTACTTCTTACTGAAGTAAGAATTCTTTTCTCCTCTTCTGCCAGAGCAGAAATGCTGAGAGTTTATGATTTGTTTACCACAGCCCAGTTAAGAAGGGAAGCTTGCAAGCGTAAAAAGGCACTGCTGTAGGAGCACGCTGAAGCAAACCTAAGGCCTGTTAGGAGCAACAGGACTACTTATTTCTGAATTTTATAGCTACGATACACTGCATGACAACAGGAAGCCTAGAATAGAAAGCCTCATTTGTTGAAAGATTAGGCAGACCACAGTTCCTGAGCCAAAGAAGAATGTGCATTAGCTTTTTAGCTATATGACCCATTCTCTGTATTGTTAACAAGATGGAGTTTAGGCTAACCATGGCCTCACCCAGCAGAACACAGTTGTACAGACACTAGACTGTTTTTCAGTGCACTTCTTAAAGAGAATATACTTTCTGTCGTTAGTCTGCTTTCAACACAACCTCACATTTGGAACTTAAAAAAGATGGTGGAATGAATGCACATTTATTAAGTGGACAGTCTGCTCAGTATAGCAGACTTCCCTCTGTGTTCACCCACTGGCTTTGGCTGGTTTGTTTTGCTTTGTAGAAATCTTTTCATTTTTTCACCTCCCTCTTACTGCTGTGTGAAAGCACACTAATAGCCAGGAAAGGATGGGAACTGGCTCACTGGGAGAAACAGTCCGATTATTCAGCAATGGCCTGTAATCCTTAAATGAAGCACACTGAGCAAAGCTAAAACAAGGATGTATTTTAGCTCCTCATTTAATTAGCTCAGCTGCTAAGAAAGATTGGTAGGTACATAATTTTAAGGAGAACCAAGTATTTTTAGAGCAAAACTGTCTCTTTCATCTTCTTAAGCCACCTATTAGAAAAAGAGCAGAAATGCACACAATACGTTTTCTTAGGCATAAAGAGGTTAGGACTAAAGACCTGCACTTCCCATCATTCTTAATGGTTTGGGGTACACTGTTTTCCATGTGCCCCAATAAAAGCCTCTTAAAGTAATCTCTCTCTTCTCTTCTGAGATCTGTTTCTCTTGGTCTTACTGAATTCAAAAGGAGATCTTTGCCATTATCACAGAGGAGCCACAGTTTCACCCAACACGTTTCTCACTGCCAGTTAAAAAATTCTAGTTCTTCTGTGCACTTCTTGCTCTTCATTTGCTAATGTCCACATGCGTGGAACTTACGGGATGAGGACCAGCTTGCACACTGGTGCAATGATATAGACTTGAATAAGAAACAGACTGAAGCAGCCATAAAAATGAAACAGACCTGAATAGAAAGAAAACACATTCACTCTTACTGGATTTCACCTCTGTTGGAGCTATTTTTTCTTTAAATGAGAATCTTCCACTTCAGAAATATTACACAGCTGAACATTCCCTAATAAGAGCCTTAAGAAATCATTCCTTCAAACTCAAACACTCACTTATTCTGCAGAAGCCATTAATTGTTATTGAGCATCACGCTTAAAAAATAAATGGCAATTCAATAAGAAAGGGTATACTCTCATCTGTGAAACGTGAGGTGGTTGAACAAACACATTGAGACAGGCATCCGTTATGGACTCTAATTTAAAGATGTATCTGTACCTGCTCTTATTTACAATACAGTTTTAATAATAAATAATAATAAAAACCACTTTTTAAAACAGTTTGAAATTATATTTCTTTGAGCTGAAGTAGTGTTATATCCATGTGCTGATAGATACATGGCAGCACAAGAGGAAAACTCATCTTTGCAAGGTAACAGAACAGATGGGAAGTTCTATCTGTTCAGACCAAGGCACGAATGTTCTTACAAAACAGTTTCTTCCATGTTTTGATAAATCCATATTCCCAATGAGGTCCTGAAGTGCTCTCTTTTTTGGACTGTGGAGCACTTTTTTTTTTTTTTTTTTTTTTTTGCAGGGAGGGATGAAGATGCAAACTTGTTTTCTGCCAGATCGGTCCTCTGATCCCTTCTTGTACCTGCTAATGCCAGCACAAAGTGACAATAGGAAGTCAGAGACAGAAGGGATGGAGGTGTCCCATTTCATCACCAGCATGGACGTGCATCAGCTTAAAATGAGTGCAACTTAAAAAAGACATTCTTCCAAAGAAGTGGAAGACAAGTTAATAGGTGTGACTAGGTTTGCTTCGACTCACCTTAGTTCTGAGCTATATAATTTTCTTAGCTCCAAGCCATTTTGATCAGAAATCTCCTTCCTATCTAGGAAGGTGTCTGACAAATTTACCATGACAAGAGAAAAGTGGGCTGAAATGAAGTCCCACAGTGAAGAGCTGTCTGATCCACCCTTCAGGCAGCAGCATTCTTGTGAATCACCAGATGTTTAGGACTGATGGTGTAGCATAAACTAAAACTGAAGCTAATTTACTTGGAATGTCCCAGCTTGCAAACTGCAGTTGATTAGAAGTTCACTAATGAGTGGATCACACTTGATTTGTTTCCATGCCCTCACACCCATTAATGCGTGTGTCTGTTTTGCTCACAGATTCCCTATAAGAGGATTCCCTGAAGATGAAAGCTAATAACTCACTGCACTGTCCAAACACCATCTTATATTTCATCTGCACCTCTATACCACAAGAGTCACTTTTCTTCTTTCCTTTTTTTTTTTTTTTTTTTTTTTTTTTTTAAATGGCTGAAGAACTTTTTACTATTATTCCAATTTCCTTTGCAAGGTCAAGTTCAGTTTGGCTTTTGGCAGTCCTCCCTTCATCCCTGAGCTCTAAGACATTGCTTTCTTTGATGATCAGACTTTTTCCATCCCTCGTAGGTCTCTGCTTTTCCTTCAAACAGAGATTTGACTGGGCTCATTGCATATCCCATAGGACTCATCACTGTCCTTTCCGGCAGACCTTGGGCTGCTGAGAACTAGTGCTTTAAGATGGCCTTATCCTTGCAGCTATTTTTTATTATTTGGGCATCCTCTTAGAACTCACTGTCATAAGAATAAGAAACATTTCTCCACTCTTCAGGGTGAGTGCTAATGGAGCCTTCACTTATCTTCCAAGGAGACATCCAGTTTTTCAGAATGACACAGTAAAAAAATACCCTTTTGGAAGGTTACATTTCTATTCAAACAGTATTTCTGTCAAAATTCCATTGCTGTCCTTCCCAAGTACTAATAAAGAATTTCTTGTGGGCTTTTTATCACCTCACTTTCCAAGGTCCTGCAGTTTGGAAAAGGATATTATTTGAGGTTTGGCCTGGACAGAGATGGCTGACTCATGTGTGTGCTGTGAGGGAGATAGGAAAAACAGAAATGGTTGCAGCAGGGAGATAACGACTGCATCACCCACTGTTCAAGGTCCTCTGCTGCACACCTGGCTGCCGAGCCTAGGCACACTTTGAACAAGGAAGTCAGCACCTTTTGAAAAAGTGAAACAGAAATAAAAAGCAAAAAAAGGGATCTGTAAGGTAGAGCAAGTAAGGAATGGGGGTAAGCCAGACAAGTCAAATCAAAGCCGGATTTGCTGCAACTTCATAAATTGAGTGAATGACTGCAGGAGCTTGATAGTCCAGCTGATTAAAGTTGTATTTCCCCTTAAAGCTGTGACAGCAATAGAAGTAACCTGCTTCTAGTCCTTCACTGGCTCCTGCAGGTATATGGTACAGAGGCAGGCAGACGAGCACCACTTTCACAAAGATAAACACAGAACTGAATCAAAATCAAGAGCAAAAGCTGAACATTTTGTCTCTGCAATCTTGAGGATCTGTGGAGAAGCTGAGGCCTCGCCTGCACAGGGAAGTCAGGAAGCATTACACTATTGAGCACATCAGCTGTGCATTTATTCTGTACTGGTTCCTCTGCACATGCTCCTCACCTGCATTCAGCAGGTTCCTCACATGAGCTCAGCTGAGATAGACAGAGCTGGCCTCTCCAGGCACTCCTGCATCATCTCTCCTCACTGCAACTCATCACACACATTCAGGCTTTGATGGAGAAAGTTCAGGGCCTGCCTGCTAGCAGGGAGGGCTTCCCAAAGCTTCAGGTAAATACAGGAGAGCAGGGGAGGTGGCAGCATATCTGATGAATTGCCTTTGCTCTAACATGCCTTGGGCTGATGCTGCCAACAAAAAAGGCCACATAGAGATCATGGAAACATGGACTCTGCCTGGGAACATCTCCTCCTACTTCTGTCTTACAGAATCAATCACTGTAGGATCAGAAATATGCTCCTGTGCTGTACCTGGGTTCTGATGTCAAACCTGGAAGTGTGTGAGAAATACCAGCTAGTTGCACACTGCCTCTGTTTCTTCACTGCACACTTCCTCCAGGCTGAACTTGGAGCAAGAGTCAAAACACAGCATCAAGCTCTGCCAGGCTGCCGAGCACAGCAGGCATTCTGACAGCACCCTCCCCAGCTGTTTGCGTGCCTTCCCCACACATTTCTCGCTTGGTTTCCACGGTCTTGAGCTGCTTCCATATGTGCTATTTCCTGGATTTAATGGGCCTTTCTTCCATCATTAAAATCCCATAAATTAATTCACTGTTTGCTTGCCTGTCCTCAGACTTGTTTGTTGTGTTCAGCTAAATATTTTGTAGGGGTTGTCAAGCAGCTTCTTCCTGCTCCTTCCAAAAATCAGGTCAAACCACTTTCTGGACTCTGTGTGACACTGGGAGGCACAGCTGCTCCCACATGCCAGCCTGCCTTCTCTGGAGATCAGGCCCACAAAGTGCACCACAATTATCCCGTCTTCCACTGGCACTTTGCTCACTCATCAAATCTCCTACTGCACCTTTCTGTCTAGATTTTCTCTTTTGGGGTGCTAATGGTCAACTATGTCTGCATCCCCAGGCATGCAGTGGGGAACAGGCTCGTGTCCCTTCCTCACTGCAGCCCAGACTGGGCTCAGCAACACAACCTCATGTGTTGTTCTGTGCATCTCCCTCCTGCATTCCTCTTTCTGAAGGAAAAAAAGAGTTATTTTACCTTTTGTTCAGCAGCCAAGAGATATATGTGCATCACAAAAGGGATCCTAAAATTATTAAAGGGATACATTAAGACTTTGCAGAAATTTCCTTGTAAAATAGTTTATACAAAACTTCAGAATAAATAGATTCAAAGGTGTCTGTGAATAGAATCCTAGAGAGGATCACTTAAAAAAAAATAAAAACCAACAACCTCAGACCCATAAATTTCCCTGTCAAAGTTACATTCATTATCCAAACCGCAGTACCTGAGAGCCTGGGAGGGAAATCAATTGACAGTAAATCAAAAGATGGTCTGCTTTCATTGTCTCCATTGAGACAAAGGCAAGAAGTGAGCAAACTGCATTTCTAGGTGACAGCAAATTTATTTTTACAATTCCTTAAGGGCCAAATTCTGCTGCTCCTTTTGTTTAAGCACCACACGTTATCTTAAGCTCAACTTATGCTGCCCATTCAGTTCAAAAAGTGTTGAGCCCAACACCTTCCTTTTGGCTTTGGTGTACACAAGATCTGAACATAAGAATAAATGCACACACACAAAGACACATCGTAGAATCATAGAATAATTTATGCTGGAAAGGAGCTCTCGAGGTGTTGTGGTCCAGCCTTTCTCTCAGAGAAATACTAATCTGGAAGTTATGTTGTGTTGATCATTGTCTTAACAGCTCTTGAACTCTGCAAGGATGGAGACGTGCCCTAGTCAGCCCAATGCAACTCTGCCTGTAAGCATTTGAATCATTTTACAGAGAGCAGTGTCTCTGGGGAAACTTGCAGCTACAGTCCAAATGGATACAGCCATTTTATTAATAAGCCTTAGCAATCTTGAGGGAAATTAGACATCTAGTTTCAGTTGGGTGACTCAAAATTTTGAAAAAAAATTTGAAGCAAGCTTTGCAAAAGCTCCCGAGTGTTGGTTATTTAATTTAATGTTATTTAATGCTCAGACATTGGGAAATCCTCCTTCAACAAGGAGTGAGATACCCACTCCCATACACCACAGAAACAGCTATTTCCAGTCATGTTTGATGAGATGGCTCAAGTTGAATGTCAGTTCTAATAAGTTAATAAGGCACGTGTAATCAATTTGCTAGTGAATCTGATTCAGATACAGTTCATAGATAAATTGCTTCATTAGAAGAGAGTAATAGCCATAGATGAAGTCCCAACTTGACCAAGTTGATTGACTGCTGTTCTGGGAATTAGAAGGCACGAGTTTTATTCCTGGCTCCGCTATTGTTTTTCTCTGAGACCTTGAGCAAAGTCACTTCATCTCTCTTGTGTTTCAGTTTCCTATCTGGAAAAATAGCTATGCAAAGCATCTTGACATCTATAGGCAAAAGGCTACCTTACTGCTAAACACTATGGTTATTTTGATGCAAGAATTAATCACTGGAATTAAAAAAAAAAAAGAATTTTGTTGAATGACAGATTAATTGCTTTTTTTTTCTTGGAGTGGTTGTGGGATCAGGAGGGAATATAAAGGTTTCTGCAAAAACAGTAGCCTAGTTTCCAAATTCAGAACTGCAATGGGCTGGGAAAGGCTCAGTTCTAAGAAGTGCAAAGGGTGTAATCTCATCTCCCAGCCAAAGGAAAAGAAATGAAGGAACATCCGGTGGTCACTTTTTGATGGAGCAAATGTCACCAGTGAAAAGATAAGATCCCAGGAACCAGGTTTTGGGAGTCTGTGAAGAATCAAGGAAGGCAGAGCAGCAAAGTTTATTGTCAGGGAGCTGAGGTAGATGTGGTAATTAGGGTATGGGGCTCAACGAAAGATGGGAGAGTGCTGTGACTTACAGAAATATGGCTTGCTGCAATGGCAACGCAGATCTGTTACTGAGAGTGGAAAACAAAAGAAAAAAGGATGTTACCAAAACACAACAGAAACAGAAAAAGAGGGTGAGGGAAGGGAGTGAGAAGAAGAAATAAAGTGTCTCATCAGGTTTCCTTCATGTCTCATCTTTCTAGTCTGCTCTCACACTTCTTACCATGGCACTCCATGAAAGCAGCCGTCAGGCCTGTCAGCTGGGTAAGAGACATGCTGACAGCCGCACGCGTTCATTAGATTTCCATTTGTAGAACTGAGACAGCATGCTGACAGTGAAGGTGGGAGCTGCACTTACCTCCAGGTGCAACTTTGGATAGCATCACAGTGCCCTTTCCTAAGAGGACGTGTCTAGGATAGCTTAAATATCAGCAAATAAGGTTATGCTAGCTTAAAAAAAAAACAAAAAACAAAAAACAAAACCCACAACATTTATAATGTTACAGTATCAGAAGTGCCTGACAGAATTAACCTTTAAAATAATGAGAAGTCTAGTTTTCTTTGGCAATGAAACTGTGTATGACACTGCATACTTCTGAGCGAAAATAGGGATTGAAACTGGCTACAGCCCATCTGTGGAGCTGCCCCTTCCTGTTGGACATTCCTTCCTGTTTGAGAGCAGCAAACTCACAAACTGAGCAGAACATGGCATTGTAGTTTAAATAATCTACATGTATACAAAGCCATAAATCAGACCTCAGATTTGAAGAAGAGTTTCTCGTGTGATCTAATCTCCAGATATGAAGGGAAGGCCTTAAAGAGAAAAGAATGAAGCAAATATATTCCTTAACTTTCTATATATACTTCCTCTGTCTGACCCTGCAAAACTGCCTGTGGGTTCTTTAGATACCCAAACCAAGCTGGTATTCCGGCCACAGGTTACCATATAGTTTCCCATGCAGGAAACGTTGTCCAAGGAAAACACCTTGCCATGCATGATCTGACAAACTGCTGAGTAACAGATTCTGTCAATCCTTGCCAAATAATGGATTTTTTTCTGCCCCCTCTATCCTTCCTCTCTTTCCCCACTTGTAGAGTACACAGTGATCAATGAGAACTGCCCTGGGGCAGAGTGGAACATCATGTGCCGGGAATGCTGTGAGTACGACCAAATCGAGTGCGTCTGTCCAGGACGGAAAGAAAAAGTGGGCTACACCATTCCCTGCTGCAGGAACGAGGAGAACGAGTGCGATTCCTGCTTAATACACCCAGGTATGCTTACTGTCACACTGTAGTCGTGTGAAGACAGCTGCTGAGCATTGAGGGTAATGGGCACTTGGCCAGGCACTCTAGCAGCAGGTAGCATCTCCTACCAGGAACTCTTCTACCAGAAGTGCTGTCCTTGTTTAGAACTTCTCAAGCAGTCTTGGCAGCTGCCAAAGAGTGATGGCGCAGCTAGCTCCGCACCAGGAATGTCTCATAGGTGCTCTGGGCTGAAGTGCATCCTCAAGGTGAGAAGGGAGGAATAATCAGAAGCCTGATTAGTGAGGAAAGGGCAGAGCAAGAGAGGAAAGCAGAAAACAGGGCCATATTGGAAGACACTGGAACCTCTGGGGCTGAGCCCAACGTGCACCAGCATGCACACTTAGACTCCTGAGAGGCATTTATATCTGAAGCAATGAGATTTAGAGGCTCAGGCCAGTCAAAGAGCTCGGCTCCAGATCTTGAAGTCCAAGTTGCCCAGGGTTTGGGGGTGGAGGTTGGGTATGGTTCACAGCTGGGAAGCTGTCAGCACCACAGCAGTCACTAACGTTGCTGGCATTTATTGTGCAGAACAGAGCGCAGCCGCTCCTCTTGTCTTAAGGCAATTCACCTAGGCTTTCCTCTGACACAGTGGCTCTCCTTTCAGGCTGCACCATTTTTGAGAACTGCAAGTCATGCCGTAACGGCTCCTGGGGAGGAACACTCGATGACTTCTACATCAAAGGGATCTACTGCGCAGAGTGCAGAGCTGGCTGGTATGGAGGGGACTGCATGAGTAAGTGTCCTATGTGGGCAGAGGCAAGCCAGGGATAGGGCACAGTGGGATGGAGCCAGAGCCATGCTGTGCCCTTCCAGCTGTTTGCTACCACGACCTTCGTAAAGCGCAGCAGCAGTGGGCACTGAGCAGATGAGCACTTTTCCCTATAGCAGGGACAAGTTCCCTCCCCAGGGCTGCCTGCTGGGGATTGGCCTGGGCCCCAAGCCATGGGAGTTTGCAACTCTACTAAACTTGTCTTGTTTTAAAACTTTAACTACTGTGACTCTGAAGATCTCCTGGTCTCTGCATTTCGCAGACATATGTGAGCATGACTAATTCTCCAGAGGACTTCAACAATGCATAAACATTTACAGGGGCAGCAGTTACATCAGAACACTTCTCTGTCCTCTCTCTACCCCTGGGCTGCAGAACCAGCCCCAAGAAGTCTAGGCACTACCCTCCTCTTGCTGCTCCATCACACTCCAAGGCAGCATTAGAAAACACAGGGTTTTCCATGTCCTGCTAGTGATGGCTGAAGGTTTTTTTTCAAATGGCACACAAAAGCCCCTCCTGATTCTATTTTGCTAAGCTGTTGGTCCTAATACTATCTTTTAATAGTAAGTTTCATAAACAACTGGAGACAAGCGTTTCTTTTACTAATTTCCCATGGGTGAAAGTACAGTCTTTCACCAGCCCTCTCTCAATTTTTATCAACTGTGTCTTTCACTTCTGTTTACTGAAAGGGATAAAAGTAGAGTCTACTTTTCCTATTCTTTTCTGTCCATTATTCCACACACCTGAGGCTTATCTTACCTCAAGTCACAGACATTAAAGCAACAATTTAATCTATCTTCCTTTCCAATACAGCCCCTGACAGTTCAGGAGGTAAAAACAAACAAAATAATTATTTTAAACAGCAAGATCCATGCTTCAGCAGGAGGGTTTACTCAGCCTTAGTCTTCAGAAGTTGATAAATTGAGTCCCTTGCAATTTACAGCATGATTTCTGATTGCACTTTTGTAATACGTGATGGAAAGTACAATAGTAGTAGTGAGGTGGCATAATCAATCCTAAGCAACAGCAAATGAAAACAAGCCCAAATACAACAGCCATAGACGCAAAAACAAAAGCAAAACTGCTTACCTTTGCAAAGCCTCAGGTAGGCAGGGATCTCCAAAAAAATACCCTCACCTTCACTGCCAATCCTTAAATAAGGTCTGGGAAGGGGTGGATCCTGGCATTATTCCTTCCAGTCACTCATGTGAGTCATGCAGCTGAGCTCCCCTGGGTTGGCCCTGCCTTCCTACCAGGTGCTCAATCACTGCTTCAGGCTGTGACTTAGCACTTCTGCTGCAGCTTTAAAGGCCATTTTGCTCTTAGAGGAGGCCTTTAGAATCATCCATTCTAAAGCTCCCAAGCACTTGAAAGCAGCCAAGAAAGAATCGTTAGTTCATCTAATCCTGAATAGATTGGTGGCCTATCATATATTTCTGCCTGCTTGGCCAGCTTGTATATTAAAGCAAATACAGCCTTGCACTGCAGTCTGTTAGGAGGTTCTAACAACACTGAATTTTCATACAGCTTGCACAGTCTGTTTTTCTTACAGGTTTCTCCTTTGAGGGCTGTAGTGTGGCACAGAGAAGATAGGCTTGTCTGGATGATTCTGGGTACTTCATTGTCAGGGTGTGGTGGGAAGATATTGTTGCTGCTGCTTCCACTCAGAGAGGAGCAGACAAGACAGTTGTGGTCAAAGCAAACTCCTGTGCTGCCCTCCTCCATCTTCCATGTCTGCAGATAACTCTGGAGCTCCTATGTAGGCTCAGACGCGCAGTGGCAGCATGGCTAGAAAGCAGCCCATGCCCACTCTGGGTGCTGGCTCACAGCTCATAGCTATGTGGATTTGGCCCGGAGGGCTGCCAGCAGCAGCCTGGGAATGACAGCACAAGAGTTGCTGGAGCAGATGTGCTGAGATGCTGTGCTTTGGAGACAGGAGGAGGAGTCACCTCCCTGGTACCTGTAGCTGGATCACATCTGAAAGTTAGTGGGCTGCTCCGGGCATCCTGCCGGCAGCTGGGTGTCAGTAAATCAAGGAAGGCAAGGGAACGCAACCACAGAAGCCGCGGGATTTGTGCCGCACACCTCTCCCTACAGCACAACAGCAGTGGCCTCCACTATCGGGCAGAGCTGCCCCTAGGCCCTGGTCTGCACGTCGCATACCCGGCTCGGTGGGCGCGGTGTGAAATAGAGATGGGTGCCCCTCCGGCAGGCGCTGCTTTCGCGAGTCTTCCTCCGCTTTGCAAGTTTTCACCTCCTCCTACCAGCCGGTCCCACGCTTCCCTCGTCCCTCCGCTGAGGACAAGCCGCCCCCAGCCTTCGCCTCTCACAATTTCTCTTTCTCTTTCCCAGTTACACGCTGCAGGGCCGGGCTGCCGGCAGGGATCTTCCCCTCCCGGGCAGGCGGCAGTGCCCGGCCGGCCCTCCCCGGCAGCGCGGCCCTTTGCCTCCCCCTCGCGGT